CTAAATAAAATGTTTTTAACTGTGTACCAGTTTAATGTTGAATATTATTTATGATTTTGGCATATATTATGTCAATAATCAGTTATATACAAATTCACACGTAGTTTCAGTTTAACATTGCTTATCAATGCAGTTTCTAGGCATCACATATACAAGTACAATGTGTCCTAGCAACCAGTCACACTAATAACAACACAACACAAAACATAACTTGTACAACATCACTTACATTTTTTGTTAACACATTAATGTTTACCAAATAATCATATCTAATAAATAAATAGTCCCAGATGAACTTAACAGAAACAACACTGCAAAAAATAATTAAAGGACAATTGATATTTGTAATAGTTTAGATATGATAAGGACAACCATTGTTACAATGTACATTCAATCACCACTTCAGTTCATTTTTAAGTAAATTAGGCATCTGTTGATTTATCACACGATCACAGAACTCAATCATAAATACTACTGATATATCTAAACAACATCAGATGGTTCAGTTTACACACAATCCATTTAACATAACACTGTAAAGTGCTAACACTCTTATACACTACACATTGTTTACAATAGTAATTTTACACACATTCTGTCAGGAGACAAGTGTAAATTATATGTTTTGTTATTTGGTGCCCAAGCAAAGCAACTCACATTTCTGAATGTCCATATACAACAGTGTTGAGTACTTATCTAACTGATTCTGGCAAAGCAAGTTTTTTACAGGAACACTGAATATTAAAAACAAAATACTTAATATACTATTGTATACTGCAGTAAGGCTGACATATCATATTTTTCTAAACAAAACTAGTAACACTTGCTTCAGTGAAGAGTACATCTTTTTTGACACAATTCTTTAACCCTTTCGAGACGGGTCACGGGTGAAAGGCAATGTCATCTCATTTTATTGAACTATTTCATGAATTTATGTCAATAAGTTTGGTATCAAACTGAAGATTATAATTCTCATTTTAATTCTATATATTACTCAATTTCAGAATTTAAAAGCAGATATTAAAATACACAGATAAACATCGATT